TCCCCAGTAGCCTTCTCTGCCTCCCCTTGCTGCTTTGTGTGAAGTCATGTTCTCACTCTCGTTTACACAGATGGGGTTGAATAATGTTCTGAAGGCTGGCTTGGGGAACTCAACCACTCACCTGAGTTTGGGGGTTGCTTTTTCCCTTTCAAAAAAAAAAATAACTTGCAATTTTAAATATCTGACTAAAATAATAACAGCTAAACTACTAAACTAAAAGAAGATGTTTTTCTCAGTGGAGCGTGGGAATCATAACAGTGCTATTAAATTGAAGCGAAGTGGGAAGAAAGAGTGTGTCCGCAGCATGCTTCAGGAATACGCTGGACAGTCTAAATGGGCTTTTCTGCGCTTGAATTATCAGCAAGCTGTAGCATATTGCTACATTCAGTCACAAATGATTTCTGAGGACTTCTGATCTTTCCTTCAGTAGTATATTATTGGCAGGATCTAACAAAGATAATGCCCACAGGTTATTTGCTTCTAAAGCAGTTGAAATATAACCTGTAAGAGAACAATCCATTCCATGGGAATTTCCTCAACAGGGTGTGCAGAGTGATAACTTGTTACTTGTCTAAAGGATGCTGTCTTTTCGAGACTTTTGGTGGGTCCCAGAATCTCAGCTTGGTTTAGGAGTTTCTCCTTCAAGGAATAAATTTTTTCCAGATGGTAGAAGTTTGGAGTGGGGCAGGAGATACTCTTTCCTCAGTGGAAAACTAAAATACAGTGCTGAGTTACCTTTCCAAAATGATGAACAGAAATAAAAGGTTTATCCTAGCTTCTCAAAAAGTTATTTTAAGCATATACAGGTTACCTCAAGTGTATACATTGTATTTAATGCCAGTGAGCATTTAATGCCAGTAAATCCTAGGCCTGTCCTCTCTACCTTCAAAATATATGTGCCAATTCTTATCACTTCTTTCCTCTTCCAGCATAGTGGCTCTGGCTTGAATGTCCAGTAGAACTTTCTGTGACGATGGAGGTGTTCTGTATCCATGCTGTCCCATTTAGTAGTCACTAGCTATCTGTGGCCATTGAGGGTTTGAAATATTGAAGCTTGACAAGGTAGAAATTAGTGCATTATAAAACTCTAGAAGCTACATTTGGAAAATGTCTTTTAGTCTTCCCTATTTTTTCTTTACTCCAAGTTGCCCACAGAGCATTCAGTAGTCCTAAATGTCTTCATGGAGGTCCTGTCCTCATAAGTAAGCTCTCAGTCCCACAGGTAATCCCAGAGTTTGCCCCCTTCTAAAGGCCATCTGGCATTGCGACTTGCATCACTTTGTACTAAAGGCTCCCACTGTTTCTTCCTGTCGACTGTGGGACACCTGGGGGGTGCAGGGGTCACTTCATTCTCTCCTAGTCTGACTAGAGAGAAGAGGGCTCCCTTTGTACATTAGATGCTCTCACCTCAGTATATTCTGCACATTTCCATATACTATCTTTTGTCTTACCTCTGATACTGCCGTTCTCAGGCCAGACGATTTGACCCACAGGAGACATGTGGCAACACCTGGAGAAAGTTTTCATTGTCACAGCTAGGGCGTGGGGACTCCTGGCATCCCCCAGGGGAACGTGGTGGGGGGGGGGCGGGGAGTCCTGCCAAGCATCCAACAATGCACAGGACCATCCTGTGTAACAAAGACTAATCTGGAAAAATGTCAGCAGTGCCAAGGTGGAGAAACTCGGGGCTGCTGCTGGGCCCACCTAACTCAGGTTTCCTGGGGTTGCTGCTGTGCCCTGCGTTTACTTCCGGTGTGACCCAGAGTCTCTGTCACAGGAAGTTAATGACCTGTCAGCCTTAATTCTCTCCTGCAAGTTCTTTCCCGTTAGGTGTTGGTATTTCAAAGGAGTACTTTTTAATATATATATTTTTTCCTTTTGGAGTTTTCTTTTGTTCTTTGGGATGCATCTTTTCTAGCTCAGTAATGAAAACAAACCCTTATTTACAGTTTGCTATGAAGTGGATGACCTTTTTCATGTCATTTGCCTTCTCTTTGCCACCCTGGTTTTCTCATCTGAAATACGCCGATAATACTAGGTCATGCAGTTGTTAGAATAGCAAAGGGATTTTACATATATTGTTATCATGTACTAACATTAATAATGATAATACATTAGTATTGTTATATTAGGAGGTATACAAATATAGGTAAAGTGCTCACAGAGTGAGTCCTAGAATCATATGCTCCCTCTTTTCAATGTAGAATTTCTTACGTGTAACAGTTTTCTGTTTATGTCCATAAAATCTGAAACACATTCTAAGCCTTTCATATTAGACAAATGCTTTGTATAGTTCATTTCTTTTAGTCCATGCATCAGCCAACATTTGAAATAGTCGTACTAAAAGGAAATTCAGAAAGTTGTCAAACCTTGATTGTGATCTTCTATTTACAGTTTAGTCTCATACCCCCTCTAACTCTTACACTGGGTCAGCGCTGACTCTGGACTCCATCGGGGCTTCGTGTAGGTAGAACTTCAGGGCACTGAGGTCATTGTTCTCCATTCAGGCAGATGGACTAAGACTAGGAAAACCCCCCTGAGCTAAACTGAGCAGGAAGAAGATCTGAAACTCTCCAATTTCTACCATTACATGCCTGAGGCTGATGTAGCAGCGAAAATCGCAGACCTTATCAATAAAATTTTCTATCTTAGAGGAACGTTGGTGATAATTCAGTCATCATCATCTGTATCTAGTATAAAATCCCCATTTTAGAGGTGTGGATGCAGAACCGAACATTTTAAGGAACTGAATAACAGTAGAGCTGGGACAAGAGAGCCGGGCTGGAACATGGGCTTCTAACACTCATTGCTGGGCCTTTCCCCCCCACCACTAACTGTCTCCTTCTCACCACCTCATTTGCCTCCATGTGCTTTTGTTTCTTTCTTAATAGCATCGTGTTCTCTGTCACCTGTTCTTCATATTGTGAATCTGAAATATTGGCCACTCAATACCATGTTTTAATGTGTCACTCTTTTAATCAGTATTCCTATGTGAATATGACCAGAATCAGGTAAATGATATCAATGTTCACCTAGGTACTCAGGCAAAAACCTTAAATCACCCTTGATTTCTCACATTCTTTTCCACCCCCCGTTTAAATCCTAGGCCTGTCCTCTCTACCTTCAAAATATATGTGCCAATTCTTATCACTTCTTTCCTCTTCCAGCATAGTGGCTCTGGCTTGAATGTCCAGTAGAACTTTCTGTGACGATGGAGGTGTTCTGTATCCATGCTGTCCCATTTAGTAGTCACTAGCTACCTGTGGCCATTGAGGGTTTGAAATATGATTAAGTGTGACTGAGGAACTGAATTTTTTTTAATATCAGCTTTATCAGTACATATCCTATATTCTACTCATTGAAAGGGTACAATTCTATGGTTTTTAATATATCATGTGATTGTGCAGCTGACACCTTAATATTTGGGCATTTTCTTTGCCCCCCAAAAGAAACCCCATAACTATGAGCAGTTATTTCCCATTCTGCCCCCTCTCCCCCCAAAAACTCCCACCTCCTGACAATTACTAGTCTACTTTCTATCTCTGTAGATTTGCCTCTTCTGAACAGTTCAAGAAGTAGAATCCTGCAACAATTGCCTTTTGTGATGGCTTTTTTCACTTAGCACAAGATTTTCAAGGTTCACCCATGTTATAGCATGTTTCAGTGTTTCATTCCTCTTTATTGCTCAAGAATGGAAGGATAGGTGTTTTGAACTTTTTCCTTCCTTTCCTTTTAATGAGATTCTGCCTAACTTTCAAGTTATCTCCCCTAAATTTCCAGACCATTCCTTTGTAAGTCGGTGGCCGTCTCTCTCCATTCTCCTTGGATAACACTTCATGTTCCCCAGCAGCAGTCTTTTACTTTAGGTGTATAGCTAATGCAGCCCATAATGTCACTTTGCAGTTGATCTTTCCTTATATATGCAAATATTCCTATCTTGAATCAGGAGAAAGACCATGCCCTGGAGCTCGATCTATGGCCCCACAATGACCAGATTCTGCTTATGGTGCTACCTGGTCATTCTGGTGTCTTAGAAAACTAAACAGATCTTGACACTTTAATAAGAGATTCCTCAACAAGCACATGGGTCAGTGAGCCCGCCCAAATATATGTGTATGGCAGCTACTGGGTTGGAAATTTGAACACAAAAATCCGTCTAATACTTGGCCTCTCAGGCACAGACCTGAATTTGAGTATAAAAGGGAATAAAAGGAGATTAGCAGTGCCATCCAAAGAAACCATTCCTGATGTTGAAAAAGGCTTTGACCCCTCAGGATAATAACCAGACTTTTCACAGCAGGCTAGCTGATGGAAGTTAGACAATTCTGTTAGAGTTTAGCCTTAGTAATTGTTTTATACATTGTAATAGTCATTATAAACGAAAAAGTGGAAAAGTTAAGAAATAAAAGCTTCAAATTCCTAGTTGTATTTTCTAGATGTCTCTCATTGGATTGTTTGCATTCCCCCAATTTATAGACTTCAGAAGTTCATGCAATTGCATATGAGAACATGAGTAGTGAATATCCCCCCCAAATTCTCTGAGTTCAATAATTATGAATTGATTTGTATTCATGTCGTTATCTTCCTTTATTGGCTCATAGTTCCAATTCGCAAAAATTAAAAATAAATCCTAAAGGAACACTCAGAAAAAGTCAAATGCTGCTATAAATAAAGATAGATTACTATAGTCTAACTCTTCCCTTTGCTTAACCCCACAAGGGGAGATTTTATTCCTTATAAAAATATAAATTTCAATACAGATCAAGTGTTTGGTTCATTTTGTTAGAAACCTGATTTTGTTTGTTTGCTTCATTTGGAGAAAATACAAGATGAAAATAATTCACAGTTAGAAAGAGGAGGCATTCGAATCACAGATGATACAGTTTTTGAAAATCCCTTATATTTTGATAAATGTTTCTAAAGTTCTGTTTTTATATTCTGAACAAAACAGTTTTCAGTGCTCTTCCGCAGAAGTTAGTAATAACTTCTTTGTTTTTCAGATACTGCATTGGCCAGTGGCCAGGCCACAGACTATTTATTTGTTGGAAATATTGTTTACACGGTAAGTTTCTCTCTGTTTACAGAACTGTTCTTAAGTGGCATATGTCGGGGCACTGCCTCTGGAAACCCTTTATATAAGGCCTTCCTTCATATTATTTGTTTTAAATCTTTCAACTCAATAGTATACATTTCTTAAAGCTCAAAATGGTTGTGAAGCGCTTACCTCATTTTCTAGCAGAGATTTTGCAGAGTCAAGATTTCTAGACAGGTGATGACCAGGTCACCTCAAGACAGTTTCACATCTAGCTGTGAAAAAAAAAAGCAGCACCGTAGAAGGTGATTTTTCCCAAATCTTTCCAAGCTAAGAAAAGCACAAAAGTGACTCCCACTGCCTCTGGAGTGGAAACTTGGGATTTCTCCTGGAAAGTAATAATAAGTCACCAAGGATAATACATTTTCCCCAATTCCTGTTTGTTTTCACAGTATGTTGTTGTCACTGTGTGTCTGAAAGCTGGTTTGGAGACCACAGCGTGGACTAAAGTAAGTTTTCTCTGGAACTGTTTCTCTATCCACTACAGATAATTTGATGTCATGGATCTTTTTTTAAGCCTTGGGAAACCAGTCAGCAGGATTGAGCTATCTCATTTAAATTTTGCATGTAAAAAAATTTTCATTTGATCTTTATCAGGGCAAATTTGCCATCCAGAGTTTTCCAATGATTCATTTACTTGGTGCTTACTAACAGCTCTAAGCTATTAACAGTCCTTTCATTTCAAGTGTATATGCATGTTGTAAAAAAAAAAAAAAAATACAGAAAATACAGAAGGACATAAAAGAGAATTTTTAATTTCCATAAGTTTATGAACAAGGGGCAGTTACTGTTATGACTTTTCTGGATAACATTACAGATGTTTCACATGTATATTTTTAATAAGATAATGCTTTATGGAGCATATAGCTTTGTAATCCTTTTTTCAGTTTAAAATAGATCGTGGACATTTTCCACACCTTAAAGTATACTTCCACAAAATCTTTGTTCATAATTAAAGAGTATTAAGTTTGATCAATATCCCATCATTTAATCATTCCCCAATTTTAGACATTTTGGTGACATGTCAAATTTCAGGATCATAACCCATCTTTCATGTTTGTCTATCATTGCTTTATAAATAGACTCCTAATTCTGTGCTGGGAAAATGAGGGAGGAGATTGGAGGTGCTTGTGGAAGTAGGGAATCCATCAAGTGACAATGGTAATTAATCCAGACAAGAGGTGATGGTGGCTTGGCCTGGGCTCTTACAAGGGGGTGTAGTGAGAAATGGTCAGATTCTGGAAGTATTTTTGAAAAGCTAACAGACCTTGATGGTGGATTATGTCATGGAGTGTGGAAGAAAAGAAGTCAAGGATCATCATATTCAGAGGCAAAGGAGAAAAAGCTAACAACTCAGCAGATGCTTAAAAGATTGTTAAGATCCAGCCCAGATTTGTAAAAAGTTCTTTGGAAAATGAAAAGAAGAATCAAAGTTTCAAAACAATAAGTAAGAACATCTTGTTCTTTTTGTCCATATGGTGCTCTCTTACTGGACTAAGGTGAACTGGCCAATGTAGCTCCAAGTTGGAGCAAGCATTGGTGAGGACCAGTGAGGGGCTGGCTAAAACTGTGCAAGGGGTCTAGGAGAAGGTCTGCTGAGGCAGCAAAAGCACCTTGATCTTCAGGGTAGTTTGGAGCCTCCAGATCCTTGAATTCATTGTGTGACATTCTGAGACAAGATAATTACAAGATGGCACTTTCTAGTGACTAGTGAAAAATGTATCCATGAAGAAAGCTGGCCTGGACACAGGGTTTCTGTTGCAGGTGGGGTGCGGGTGGCTCACCTGTGCCAGCAGAGAAGCCTTGCCTGAGCCTCTATTTCCTTTTGCAGTTCAGTCATCTGGCTGTCTGGGGAAGCATGCTGATTTGGCTGGTGTTTTTTGGTGTCTACTCAACCATCTGGCCCACCATTCCCATTGCTCCAGATATGAAAGGACAGGTCAGTGCTCCTAACTGTGAGTGGGCTTTCCCTGTCTCATGACACTGATGCTTTCTGGGCATGGGCTCTCTGTGTCTCATGACACCAGTGAACTTCAGGAGAGGTTGGTGCAGCCTACTTCCATCAACATTCATCAGGAGAGAAACAGACCAAATTAGAGAATCTGAAAGAGGTTGCCTTGTCCACAGAAATGGCATTGGAAATTTTAATATTGGAGATTGTCCACTTACATCTGCTGGCCTACCCAGCATGTTCATGTTTCCATAATGAATCATGTGTTAATTACATACAGTCCTGATGTGTCCAGGTAGTTCATGGCCCAGAACAACTGGAGATGTTCTGAGTCATTTGCCATCCAGTGGTGATGCAGATGGTCATTGTGAGGTTAAGTGTATTGTTATGCTCTGATTATCAGTCACCTGTGAAAGATAAATCTAACAACTCCATTAGCCAGATCATTGATTAACCAGAATATCTCATTGTTCATCTCTTGAACTAGAGAGGCTCATTTGAATTTTTTTTAGTATTCTCTTTTCTTTTGTATTATCTTTATCCAGTGTTTGAGACTGAGCCTTCAATAGTGACAAGCTGGATCTTAGAACCCTATAGTATTGGGTCTGGAGAGGAATTTGACAATTCCAGGTTCCAAACCACCTCAGTTTACAGATGAAGCTGGACAGGCCCAGACACTCCAGCCTCACCCTGTAGACCCCCATTTTCTGATCTGCCCATTTCTAGCACTGTCCTAAGATCCCAGCAGGTGGTTGCCCAGGCTCTGTGCTTTGGAAGCCTCTGAGCTGGCCAGCCTTGGCTAGGTCTGTTCCTCTTCACAGGGTGAGAAGCCCATGGTACACAGAGCCAGAATCCTACTTCTAGTCCATTCCCTGGGTTTCTAAGATCTTGAGTTTCCTTCCTCAATGGCCACAAAAGCCCACTTCCCAGGCCTGCATGGTCCTTTCCCCATATCCAAGCCTTTGTGAATACCCTTAGCCCAAGGGGCAGCTAGTTGCAAGACACATGCATTGGGCCAATTGGATGTTTGCCTCTCTATAGCCACCCCGACTTGCATGAGGACGCTTATGCTGGGGGACAGATCCGAGGATGAGAAGAGAAGGCCTATGGGTCAGGGACTTCCACTGGTGTTCCTGCCCCAGGAATGCATATTGTAGGGCCAGGCCTGTGCATGGCACGTCTGGCTATTATCCTAGCCTCACTTCCTCTGCAGAAATAAGCTCAAACTCCTGAGTCTGCCCAACTCTAAATACATGTGCAGCAGCTGTGTCATGTGAGATAACCCAAGGGTGGCATTGCTTGCCTTGTTCCCTTGGCTCATCAGTAGCCGTCAGACCCCAGGGTGTCCAGGACCTCCTCAAGTGCAGGTGTTGGCCAGGACAGACCTGTGCTACAGAAGGGGGCACATAGTCCCCTAACACATCTACACAGTGAGGAATGAGGACAAACCCGTAACACACTTGGCAGTTCTTTCCCACACGCAAGTGGTGATGGAAATTACAGCGCATTGAATGAATCAGGAAGATGGTAGAGTATTGCAAGAAATCAGTTCTATTTTAAAGCAATGTGATTCATCCCCCCCACAAACAAACCAAGACAAGTATTCACAACAACAATGATCACTTGGCAAGGCGGTGGTGCCTAGAATATCTGCTTTTGGGTCCTCTTCCTTCTGGGAAAGGGCAGGTATGGCCTTTTGACTGTTTCTTTTAGGGGAATTTTATGGTGTGGGACAGCAGCTGATTTGTTGCAGATAGTTTCTTAGGTGAGAGGAGAGTGACAGCTGGCAGAATGGGATCAGTCCATGTGTGACTGGCCAACAAAATCAATTTTCTTGGAAGCCCCTCCCAGTGCCCTCACCAGAGAGATACCCAGGTATACCCCCTCTGCATGCATCTGCAGCAGCAACCCTAGGTTAGAGGTGCCCAAGCTAGGTTGGCCTCTGACTCTCACTCCAAGCCACAAGCTACTTTCCAAGGGCAGAGAGGCCTTATCTGCTGGGCAGACACTACTAACGTGCCACATGGTCACTCTCCAAGTGTGCTGGTCTGTGTGGTGTGAGAGCTTGGCCTAATGGTGAAATTTCTGTCGTTGCAGACCTTTCAAACACATTTAACAAGGTATTCCTATCATCCCAAAGCAAAGAAATTGTAATATCAAATCATGTATCGTTTTGTATAAATTTTTTATTTTTTTATTTTTTACGTCATTCTCACTGTTTTGTTGGTTGGTGGGTGTGTATGAGGCAAATGATGTTACTTGGAAATCAAACACAGCTGGCTAAGGTGAGGTTCTCATTAGACGCCAAATAAGATGATTAAGGTAGTTTTCATGTCATGGGACTTCCGAGTGGGTATTCTGCTGTGTGTGTGTGAAGGCCTGTTTATGATCACTAGTCTTCCTCCAGGGGAGACCTCTTCGTGGGGACAGGGTGTCAGAAATACAGTGTCAGAGACATCCTAACACTCTTTCACCTGCTATTGCTGCCCAGCGGTTTGTTCATTCTTTGAACCCTTTTGAAGAAGCCCTTACGTGGAGAGTGACCAAAACTAGCCGGAGGTTTCCCAAAGACTTCCTGCTGCCTCCGAGGGAATGACAGGCTGTCATGAAGAAAGCTGGAAGCCAGGCTCGGGTACCAGCAGGAACAGGGCTCCTCGGGGCTACTATTGAAAATCAGCCCAAGCCATGGTCATCTCTTTGGTCTTGGGTGGGCATTATGGACTCAGTGTTTGTGTCTTCACCTCAAAGTCTCGTGTTGAGGCCCTACCCCCCAGTGTGATGGTATTTGGAGGTAGGGCCTTTGGGAAGTAATTAGGTCATCAAGAGGATTAGTGCTCCTTATAAGAAGGAGCCAGAGAGCTAGCTCACTTGTTTTTTGTCTTGTTGGAGATACAATGAAAAATTAGTTAGATGCTGAAAGAGGGTCCTCACCATTGTGCCAGCACCCTGATCTCAGATGTCCAGTCTCCCGTACCGTGAGAAATAAATGTCTGGCCGATAAGCCACTCAGTCTATGGTATTTTGTTATAGCAGCCTGAGCTAAGACAGTTGGTGAATGCTTAGGAGTGAGGGGTACTCTGGAAAAAGACTTTTATTATTATTATTATTATTAGATGTTTCTAGTGACTTATATAAACCATTTTTTTGTAGTTCACAGAGCAGTAGGATTTTGGCAAATGAACATAGTTCTTTTGAGCTTTGGAATGAAACTAGTGTTTAATGGCAAACAGCATTTCTCACTCAGGAGCCTGAGACAGATGCCCCACACAAAACATTCTGTTTGTTCATAACATCCTAAACTGTTGAAAAGGTACATTGTTCCTGCTGGGATTTCCTAATGGATTTGGTTAAATATTTCTTTCTTTGTCTTGTCCATTATATCTAGAGTTTTTCTCATGAGGGAGAAGGCAGGTTTTCCCTCGAGGGTAAGGGAGGAGAAGGCTCTAGATGAGAGTGATTTTCCACTGTCAAAGGGTCTTTATCCTCCCTCCAGCACCTCATGATATGATATGCAAAACCCAACCAGACAGTGAGCCCCAGAAAGTCCCAGTGGAAGTTTCTGAAATCAAAGAAGTCATCTGCAGACTCCGTCTCCTGAAAATATGCAACATTTGTGGGATTTTAAGGGACACCTTGTTTTTACATTTTTCTAGGTCCAAACTAGATCTAAAGCAAATTAAAAACTCAAGTTATGTCTATCCTGGTTAATGCCAAAGTCCCCTACCAGGGAAAACATGTGCTGATGTTTTTCCATAGGGGACCGTCTGCTTTTCTTTCTCCCAGTAGCATAATCGTGGCTTACAAGCATCTCTGTAATGGGTCCCCAAAGCCAGTGCTCAAGGTAGAAAATTTCAAACTTCATTTAGCTCAGAGCTGTCTGCTGAAGAAGAGCATTTGATTAGAGATGAGGAAAACTTTATCTAAAACCGGATCAGGAAATGTACTGCTATTTTCTTCACATGTTTCTGAAGGCTTTTGACTTGGGGAGTATCTGAGGGGATGCCATCTCATTTGACGTCTGTGTAAAAGGCTAAAGAGACCTGCCCCAACTAGCTCTGTCACCTTTGGTAAATCACTAAGCCTGTGTTAATTTCCTTATCGACAAAGTCAGAATAATATTATCCACCCTCATTATCTCTGAGGAATGTGGCACAGGTATAATAAGAAAACCCAAGGGAAATGGAAAACATGCCTGCTCTTTTTTCGGAAGTAACTAATTAGTTTTGAACTTCTGTAAATAGAAATATTGTGACTTCAACTCCTAATTCTTTTGGCCAAAGAATTTTAACATTCTATAGGTTCTAGATGTGCTATTTCTCAGTAAGGTCCAGGAACCACCTGCATCTGAATTATCTAGGTTACTTGTTTGGGTTTTTGTTTTGTTTTGTTTCTGTTTTTAAAGATTTTATATATTTATTTGAGAGAGAAAGAGCATGAGAGGGGAGACGGTCAGAGGGAGAAGCAGACTACTCATGGAGCTAGGAGCCCAAAGCGGGACTTGATTCCGGTACCCCGGGATCATGAACTGAGTTGAAGGCATTCGCTTAACCAACTGAGCCACCCAGGTGCTCTCTAGGTTGCTTGTTAAAAAACAACCTCCTCCCCACCCAGAAAATATGTTCTTGCAATATGCACGCACGCACACACTCACACACCCACACACAGTCCCTGGGTGCTTAGCCCCAGCCTGTGAATTTTAATAAACCTCCGAGTTTTTCCTCCCTGAATGTCTGAGAACTGCTCCAAAACAACTGAAATATTATTCCTCTCTCTCAGTGTTTGAGTCATGCAGGGTGTTCTAGGAGAAGATGGTGTTATTTAAAATATCCACAGATGATTTATGTCTCCTGGGCAGTGGTTACGTAAGACGTGGCAGGTATCGCCAATGACAGCTTTAAGGCACCTCGCTTTCTAAGTAGAGAATTATACCGAAAAACATTACATCGTTCGCCATGGAAAAATATTCCTCATCACCTTTGGTGCTTTTC